TAACACACAGTTGTATTAGCAATAGTTAGATAAAGGTAACTGATATGGGGTTGAAATAGCATTAGTTAGCTAAAAGTAATGGATAATTGTTAAAATAGTTAGCTTACAGTAACTGATAAGCCGTAAATAGCATAAATTTGCTATAAGTAATGGATAATGATTAAGTAGCTAATACACAGTTGTATAAGCAATGGTTAGAAAAAAGTGATAAACCGTTGAAATAGCATTAGTTAGCTAAAAATAACAAACAATGGTTACAACAGTAACTGATACGCAGATGAAATAGCATTAGTTAGCTAAAAGTAATGGTTAAAAGAGCTAGTTAAAAGTAACAAATACACAGTAGAAATAGTAATAGTTAGCTTAAAGTAACCGATAAGCAGTTGAAATAGCATTAATTCGCTAAAAGTAATAGATAATGACTAAAACAGATAAAAGTTACTTATAAGTGGTTGAAATAGCATTAGTTTGCCAGAAGTAACTGATAAGCAGTCAAAATAGTAATAATTAGCTTTAGTAATGGATAATGATTGAAACAGATAAAAATAACTAATAAAGAGTTTAAATACCATTAGTTATCTATTATGGTTAAAACAGTTAGCTAAAAGTAACTAATAAGCGGCTGAAATAGCATTAGTTCACTACAAAGTAACTGATCAACAGTTAAAACATCTCACAGCGCCGTTAACACAGTACTGTTTTTTGTGAAATGCCTGTTAAAACGATCAAATTACATATTCCTTTGTGTCTATGTTAAACTAAGGTATCCCAACAGATTTTAACATTTTGCATGACTACTTACAAACATAAACTTAGATTTATGGGCTTCTTTCCCCCACTGGTAGCAGCCATGTTACTTGTTTACCTTAGACTACCACAGTTTGCAAAGCATTCTGGGAATTTTCTTCTCCCACCCCATTTGGAGGGCCACCTTGAGGGCTACCTGGAGGGCTGGATGACCATGACCCCTCCATCCCACAACAGAAATGGGACACCCTAACATATGCAGCAGCACTCAGAGCAGAGTGGTAGGGTTGAGGGAGGAACTGGGATTGGGCCTATAAATCTGATAATAAAAATATCTTTAGATGCGGAGTTAGAAAGAAGCGAGACCTCTGTGGCCCCATAGACTGCAAAAATAAGTGTGGCCCACTCCTCACCATCATCTCTGACCGAACTGCTAGAGATCGATGTGCATTGTGGGTATTATGTAGCCCCCAAACTTATACATAGAGGAAGAATGTGTGGACAAAACAAGATGATATCTCTGGTCCTGCTGCATCGATTTTCATCCTTTTTTTAATTAGCAATGCTAAAATTGATACTCTTTCATGTAGATTATCTGAATAATGTTAATAATGTGCAACATAATCTTCAGTTTACTGCTCAAAAACATGACATATTTGTACAGATATTCCAGGCTAACAATCTTCCTTGAGCCAGGTTTCAAATCTCATTCACAAAATAAATGACTGCATCTGTACATAGGTTAGCACGAACACGACACCGTCTCTTAAAACGTGGCTCATGTTTTGGTCGATGTTCTCTGTCAAACCCAAGATATTTTCAGGGCTGACATACATGAGCGGTGTGTAGACTGTGGGAAGTGTTGACCAGCCCAGATTCACTGAATACCACATGGAGACACTGAATGTACCACAACGCCAGAGTGCTGACACTTCAACATCACAGGCCGACTCTAACCTTCAAGTGACCAGCTCCACCAGAAGGAGACTGGTTCCCCTTTAATCTCATATTCACAGGTGTGTCTGAGTGAAAGCACAGTCGGGTCAGCTGGTCGTCACTTCTTATCAAACGGCCACAAACAACACAGAAACTAAAGAGTCAGAGGAACGACTGTGTTCATCAACAAGCCCAAACATTCAATCTGTGTTCAGTGAGCAGGGTGTAGGGTAATGGGGGATGTCCTGGATCAGGTACCAGTTCTGATGAATACTGGACAGAAAATACTCTGGCACTTGAACAAATACACCTACTGATGATGCTCTTTTTATTGATAGGTCAAATTTGATGATTGCTGGTGTAATTTACCTCTTCAACATGACTCGTGCAGTACTGACGAAAGAGCTTCAATGGTTTTATTAATCTCAAACAGTTTTTAAGTCAGCTTTGACAGAAATATGATGCTACTTGTGCTGAAATTGCCTTTAAAAAGACCAAATGTCCTTTTCAAGTTGAACAAAGTCATTTCGCTCTGTCTGGGAGAATGTAAACACAGTGCAACCACATCTCATTATGGTTTGATGGCAGGAAATGTTTCAGCTATCTAAAACTTAAGCAGTAAATGCCAGGCTGTGCTGTCAGTCTCTCAAAATAACATAACTTCTTTGTGTGCTCTAAATTTTGCACCAACCTAAAATCACACAGGGGGAAATCAACTATAGAAGAAGTTTAATTTCTCCACTGACAGTAGCCTCGGTTGACCACAATGCACTGCTGTCATGAGAAATGTTTGAGTTTTTCATTTTTATATCTACAATATCAAACTTACAGCTGAAATGCAACAAGTTCATGTCTGTTCTCTGGGAGGTGTTGAAAGGGATTATGGGCATTGTAGGACATCACAAACAGAACTATGTAACTGACATTAAAGGAGAATTGATGCACCTAAACACTGCTGTCCTTCACCTCTACATAACTCCACCAAAATGACTGATCACACTGATCCTAAAAAACAGTTATCTAAGGGAGCTCTTATCTGTGGTGCTGTTTATCAGTCTGAATTGCTTTGGTGTGAGTTGCAGAGTGTTGCAGATATCGGCCGTAGAGATGTCTGCCTTCTCTCTAATATAATGGAACTAGATGTCACTCAGCTTGTCATCTGAAAAACTCAACATCAACTTCTCTTTCCAGAAATCATGACCCGTTTTCTCGATATAATCCACAGACCTTGTTGTGAGCAGTTTCATGTGGGAACTATTTTCTTCCTATCAAACTACACCCGCAGAAGGAAGTGTGCATCTTCTCATCAGCGAGAGGGTCGTGCTCATGACAGGGTCAGATGTAAACAATAATGGCGTCCTTCTTGGCTGAGCTGTCAGTTAGCCAGCTCAGTGGTGCTAGGTGAGCTAGCGGTAGATGTGTGCACCTAAAGGCCCTGACACACCTACCCGATGGGCGGCCATTAGTAAGCGTCTGTCACCCCAATTTTGCAGTGTGTCCCGCACAGTTGGCAGTAGTCAGCCCTTGCTGGGGTTTTTTTTGGCGAATTCAGCATGTTGAATAGGTGTTGGAGACGGTGAAGCCCACCGGAGCCCTTCAGTAAATGAAATCATCCTGACTGGCAGTTCAGTTCAGCACACAAGAAAAGAAATAGAAGTGAGGAAAGTAAACAAACAGCTAAAATCAAGAGAGCACGAGATAGAAACCAACATGTTAGATTAAGTAAGATTATTATTGTTAGCCAGCTGAAATGGTTAGCCCTTGTTTGTCTTATTGTTCTCTAGCATCTAGTTGAGTTGTTAATGTGTTAACTGGCTAACTAGTGTCTTAAATCCGTCCTGTCAGTCTTACGGTTTCTCTTTTTAAATGACAAATACAGACTACTGCCGCCTGCTGCTATGGAGGGTTATCTCCTCTCACGCAGGTGCAGAGTGTACCTGTTAGTTGGCTGTAGTCTTTGCTCCAGGGTTGAAATTAATATTTCTATTCACCTGCCTCTGTGACTGGTCGATTCAAAAATTTTACCAGCCATTCAACAGATTACCATTCTAGTGTTTTGGGCTGGTGAGTGGAGTAAATCTACTAGCTACTTGCATATCTTACCAGCATTTTTGACCCAGGCAACGTAAGGCGATCTAACAGTCAGCCGTTGTCGCCACTACTTCTTTGATCTCAGTTGGTGTGTCTGAGCGTTAACATTACAGCTCAGTCAAGGAGGGCGCCATTAATGTTTACATCTCACACTGTCATGAGCACGAGCCTCTCGTCCATGAGTAGATGCACTCTTCCTTCTGCACATTGATATCATTGGTGGGTATGGTTTAGTAGAAAGAAAACAGTTCCTACATGAAACTGCTCACAACAACGTCTGTGGATTACCTTGAGTAACCAGGTCATGATTTCTGGAAAGAGAAATTACTGCTGAGTTTTTCAGATGTATTATCTTGGTACTTTGAGCGACACAAGCTGAGTGCCGTCTGGTTTGATCAAACTGGAGAGAAGGCAGACATCTCTACGGCTGATATCTGCAACTCCCACCAAAACAATCTAGACTGATAAACAGCACTACAGGAAAGAGGAAAAACATTTATTTTTGTTTTTAGGGTGAATTGTCCCTTTAGGGGATTGTAGGACATCACATGTAGAACCATATAACATCAATGACATATAGATCATAAACATGAGTTATCTGATGATGGAGGTTTCCTTTAAAAATGTTTAATGTCTGCAACATCAATCTTTACATCCCACACTCCGATGGGAGAGCTTTAGTAAAACAACATGTTATTCTAAAAATACCTTGGAGCTGTGGGATCATGAATCTGTTAGATAATCCCTGGAATTGGGACAGCCATTAATCCCCCCCTGCTCTACGTCAGGCCTCGGCTACTGGGACACAACATTTTAAGATCCCACAACAAAGCAGCACCTAATGTGGAGGTGAGAGTGATGTTTCTAGAAGGTCTGGTTTTTGGGGGAAGCCTCCAGCCTCAGTGATGTGAACAGTGTTCAGATGAGTTAGTTTGGTGTCTGTGGGAGGAGGGAGGGTGTGTCTGCAGGGCCCTGATGCAGCACAGTCCTGACAGCTGTGTTTATATCTCACAACAATGTGTAGGAACTGAAACAGGACAAAAGCAGGGCACAAACACCCTGATGAGTTCACTGAACATGGGAAATAAGACATCGGAGTCATGGCTGGTGGAGCACATGCATGAAGCTTTAGGTCCCCTTCATCTGCATGCTGACACCCCACACACACACACACACACACACACACACACACACACACACACGCATGTACACACAGCTGAACTTACTCGTTTTTCACGCATCTGGTCTCGATGAACATCTTATCCAGCTGGATCACCGCCTGTCCGAGGAACACGTCCATCCCGATCAGAGCCCGGTGCATGACGATGAGGACCAGCTCGTTGCTCCCGGCCGGGAAGCTGCTCCGCCCGCTGTTCTCCAGCACACCGGGCTGCAGCTCGAAGGAGCACTCCTCCCTCCACTCCGGCTCCGTGGTCTTCTCCACCACACCGGTGGAGTATTTCTCCTTCCCCAGCTGGATGATGGTGTACACGTCGCTGGTGCCGTGCTTGCCCTTGCCCCGTAAGCCCCTGCCTCTCAGCACCGTCACCTGGACGTGTGTCGGTACCCATTTCTGGTCCTCCTCCACGGTTAGCGAGGACATGTCCCCCTGCAGACAGACAGACAAACCGACCGACCTGCCGCGACGAGGCAACCGGGGAGAGGTGGTGGTGGTGTCCGCCGCTGCCTCCCTGCTCTGGGTGTGCACAGTCACATCAGCTCCGGGGTGTGCGGGCGGTGCCGCATTATGGCTGCGTGTCGTCTCTGCGAAGGTGCCGGTGCTGGTGAGCCGCGGCTGCTCCCCGTGTCTCACAGCTCTGAGCTCTGCGGCAGCAGCAGCGTCCGTCCCCGCTCGGTGTGTCCCTGCCTCTCTGTGCTGCTGCACGGGCCTCTCTGCGGGCAGCGACGTCACGCCTCTATCCTCCTTCTTCTGCAGGACGAGGAAGTCGAGCTCAGACACAACACATGGCTGCGTGCACACAGACAACAATACAGGCCTGTGCTGGAATGTAGGGTGTGATGTTTCAACCAAGGCAGCTCCACTCCTCTGTGTCCTCTGAGACTAGACTGTCACACTGGTCTGTGTGAAGGCTGCACACTCCCTGATGGAGGCCTCTGTAACACCAACTATTACAACACTCCTTTTTAAACTATGAAGCCAGATGAGGCTGCCTGTCAGGGCCGTAATCACCTATGTAACATGTGGGGGCCATTTTCACTGTGTGCCCTCTGCACAGGGGTGGAGAGTAACAGATTACAAGTAACTAAGTTACATATTCAAAACACAAAATATGAGCCTGGTCTCACTCGGCAGTCGTCGAAATCCAGTGCTTGGGCAGTGACTTGCAGCGTCAGAAACCAAAGCATAAAGGCGTCCGTTAACATCAGCATGATACTCGTCCGGTTGCTGTTATAGTAACATCAGGGGAAAACACTGCAGGACAAGGATGAATGTTAAGGCAGCGAAAGTCCAACTGGGGTCGGTGGGAGGTGAGGCTGGGCGATATAACGTCTATGTACGATAGAGCGATATATTGTCAAGCAAGATATAAATTAAGACACTGTTTATATCAATATAGGGTCAAGTTGCGTTGCATATCACATTCCAGTGTCCATCTCTCCTCTCTTACACTCTCCACACAGCTCCGCCCTTTAGCAACACTTTCTAGAGCCGTAACCTGACGTGCACCTCCCCAGAAATGTGATAAGTCACAGTGACGCAGAGCTCCTGTTTTTATAAGCTGACACCATTTCCCTCAGTGGAAACAAAGCTTTGATTTACTTTAATTTCACAGATAAGAAACAATAAACAGTGAAGACAATAAAGCCTCCACACACTGTGTGTGATTTATCCTGGCTGAAATATGAGCTGCTAGCTGCTAGGCTAATTTATACAATGTAAAATGCCATAGGCTTGTGCTAATAACGTTAGCATGTTGTATTTGTGGGGAAAATGTGTCCAGATAAAGACAAGTGTTTGTCTGTGAATGCTGCGAGTTATAGTGAAGCTGATTTGTGTTTGACACTGTCTCTATTAAGCCATGTTTAATGTGTGTTTACTGTGTGTTTACTGTGTGTTTAATGTGTGTTTACTGTGTGTTTAATGTGTGTTTCATGTGTGTTTTGAATCAACTAAACTTTACAGCACTTCACACAAACCCCGCCGCCCACCAGTGTTGTGGAGGTGTAACTGTTGTTGTGCAGCTGCATATTTTCACACAGGGGAAATGCAACATAACTCATGGTGTATTGTTTGTTTGTGAAAATCTTGATATTATTTTGGGGACAGTGACACGGCTGATAGCTCGCTGTCTTGTTGTTAAACATACTGTCACATTATATTTACTGTTTGTTACTGACTTTGAATCTTGTTAGCATAACGTTAGCTTTCTGGCTAACAGCTGGGCCAAAGGGTTCCATGAGCTGAGCTGAGTGGACTAGAATATCTCCTGCTGCTAGGTCGTATTTAAAGGGACATTTCGGTTTATTTCAACCTGTCTCCTATCGTCCTAAATTTGTTTCAAGTGACTAGTGACGAAAAATAATAGTTAGCATGTTAGCCGTTAGCCTAGAGTGTTACCAAGGAAACCGAGTTATGGTTTGTGAAAAACTTTAGATTTTGACTGCAAAAAGTATAAAAATATGAATGAATATTATTACTTTTTATTTCCTTTGTAAGTGACCATGGTATAAGTGGGATGATGCCTGATGAGGTGTCCATTATCACTCCACTGTGTGTTGGACAGTTCATGCCTCCACGTCGGCTGTTAAAAAGTGATAATGAACACCTCATCAGGCATCATCTCTCACATAAAACACCAGAACACAACAATAAATGCCCACAAAGACAGCCAAAGGTGCTCGAGTGTCTTGCTTTGTCCAACCAACAGTCAACCCCCGACGGCACTGACCGAGCTGAACTTTTAGGACTTCTTTTCCACGCACATTTAGGGTTAGGAACGAAAGTTAATCCTGGACAAATAAATCTCAGCTCACGGTCCACTCACTGGCTTTCAGCTGCATCACATTGTCTTCATCGGCAGTTTCATTGCCTCCACATTCCTGCAGGAGGCTTCTGCCAAAGTCTTTGTTTTTATCTTTGATTTATGATCAATCCAAATTCTCTTTATCTGGATATTTTAAGTACGTACAAAGAATATTACAACCTCTTATGATCCATCAGCTCTGGAGGTTAAGTTGCCTTTTTAAAGCCTTGTCATGTTTCATATTCATGTAGGTTCAGTCCTTGTTCTCTGAGTGTGCACTGGCATTTAAACTGTGGTATATTGTGGTATATACGCTGCACCGTCAGGCCAAATGTCACACAGAGTCATTGACAGCCATTTTTGTGGAGCCTTGTTATGGCTGAGTTTGGTTTCTCTGTCTGAGAGCAGACAGTCCTCACATGATGAGCAGATAACAAGAGCACATTAGTGCTAAAAGGCTGTTTGTACTGAGGGCAAAGATTTTAACAATAAACTTCTGATGTCTCTGATCAGCCCTCCACTCTGTGCTCATCTCTACCTGTTTCCCTTTTATTAGTTTTATCTGTTATTTTCAGTTCATGCCTTTTCATTTTCATGCACCTGCAGACCTCATGGCTCGTACATCAGGTGCAACACCAGCTGTCTGGAACTGATTTTCACCAGCTTCTCCTGGAGTTACTGCGAACCAGACTGCAGCCTGTTGGATGTTCGAGCATCAGTTGTTTTCTTGCTTTTACACATTTATGTTACATCTCTCACTGTACATGGCTCTGAGGATGGAAAGGTCTCTGTCGTCCAGACTGAGAAATCCCAACAACCATTTGATGGATCACTGGTGGAATCACCCCTTTGTGCTCCCATGATCAAACAAACCACAGCAAAGTGTCCTCTTGGTTCCCCTATGGTAGATAAAACATGGCAGATTGCCCTGCAGGATGTGCCTCTAGGAGAGAGAACGTGAGGAAGAGCCCTCTGGGTGGCTTTAAATGGAGAATGGTGCAGAGTCATACAGGCTGCCATATATGGTAGTAAACCCTCTACATGCCACACCACATGCAGCAGGTGCACTTTGTATTTATTTATTTGGCCCAGACCCTCAGACAGTCTGAGTCCACCACTGTGAAGGAATGTTGTGCAGACAGTCTTGGTCCCCAGAGGATGGATCTTAACAACCCTGACGTTTCGTGTACCGTCACCATAACGTTCACATTTATGGCTTCAAATGAAATGTCTTGAGAACTACTGGATGAATAAAGTTTGTGCAGACTTTAATGTTCCCCTCCAAATAAACTGTAAAAACTTTGGTGAACCTTTAGCTTCACCTTTAGCGCCATCATCAGGTCAAAATTTGATCAAAACTTTCACTGGTTTCTGATCAAATACCTGCAAGTTAAAAGTTAACGATGAAATCCTGGAGTTATAAAAAGGCCTGTTTTTCACTCGTCGTGTAATTTTTGTTTTTTATTTTTGGCCAAATCTTAAATATGATGTTGAATAAAGTGATTTTGATGAAATATCTCTATTTTAAAGGAAATGGCCACTTTAGAATGAAAACACAGACAGTACTTACTGACCCTCATGCTGACAAGAAGTCCAGTGTAGTTTTTAATCCACAAAACTCGTTCAGGGTATCAGAGGAAAACACCTAGCCAGATTTGTCCATACACTTGAAGTGCACGGAACCCACATTTTGAAAATGTAATAAAACTCCGCTAATGCGGTTCAAAAACGTCAGAACGGCTCGTCCGTCGTAATCAAAGTGCCCTGAAGCCGCGGATTGCAACACTGACTTGAAAAGACGTAATTTACTCCACTTTTATAGCATCATTTCTCACCGTGGTCAACACATGGCAACTCGCGCGAGACTAGCTGCTGGCTAGCGGTGAGGCTAGTTCTCGAGTCTTGCGTGAGTTGCCATGAAAACACAGCACGCCTGCAAGTTAACTGACCGCGGTGAGAAATGATGCTATAAAAGCGGAGTAAATTACGTCTTTTCAAGTCAGGGCACTTGGATTACGATGGACGAGCCGTTCTGACGTTTTTGAACCGCATTAGCGGAGTTTTATTACATTTTCAAAATGTGGGTTCCATGCACTTCAGTACATGGAAAAATCCGGCTAGCTGTTATCCTCCGATACCCCAAACGAGTTTTGTGGATTAAAAAACTACACTGGACTTCTTGTCGGCATGAGGGTCAGTAAGTACTGTCTGTGTTTTCATTCTAAAGTGGCCATTTCCTTTAACTTCTCGGGGATGTCTTGTATTGTTTTTAATGTGTGCCTTTTCTTAAATGTTTTTATTTTGAATAATGACAATACAGTTTCATTCATTCATTCAGTTTCTATGATAAATGGTGTTAATTTTTGAAGAAGACATGCAGGTTTGGGAGGAACATGTTCTTTAAAAATGTTTTCTTTAAATATAAAAACAAATTGCAGTTTCTGGCTGTGATAAACGGTGTACACTTGGCAATTCTTAGAGGAAACATTCCCTCCAAACCTGCCCAGCACTAAAATAAATACAAAATATAACCATTTAAATTTGTATGGCCCTCTCCTAAGCCAAAATAAAAACATAAGTCCCTCCCCAGTGCTTAAAAAATATTCCACATGCCTCCCCCTTTTTGCCCCACCTCCTCCCCCATATAAGTAACGAACAGTCCCTTACAACATTCCCATCAGCTTCACATGTATGGAGTGTTGATAATGCTGATTAACAGTGTTAGCATGCTAACACAACAAACTAACATTATACCTGCTAAACATTAGCATGTTAGCATGCTGATATTAGCATTTAGCTCAAAGCACTGCTGTGATAGTTATCGTCTGCAGAAAGTGCTGATGAGTTTTTATATGATGTTTATATGAATATGGTGCACAGGAGGGTTTCTTGTTTCGTTTTTGTTTTTTGATCTGGACGATGCAGTTTAACATCGTTCCTATACAGAGTATGAGACTGATGTTTCAGGGGAACCTTTGAATCTTTATGTGACAGTCAGACACTGGCACTGTTTTCTTTGTCAGCACCACAGGCAGGTTTTTCCAAACTGAAGCACCAAAGGTCGCGACCTTTAAGTCAACCACATCAGAGAAACACCAGGCTGATATTTTTGGCACATCCTGTCAGTGATTTC